CGAAGGTTCCAAGTGAGGGTTCCGAGGTTCCAAGCAAAGGTTCCGAGGTTGCAAGTAAGTTTCCGAAGGTTCAAGCAAATGTTCCGCGTCAACTGTCCAAAAGTTCCAAGTTTAAGGGTCCGAGTGAAGGTTCTGAAGGTTCCAAGTGAGGGTTCCGAGGTTCCAAGTAAAGGTTCCGAAGGTTCCAAGTGAGGGTCCCGAGGTTCCAAGTAAAGGTTCCGAGTGAAGGCTCCGAAGGTTCCGAGGTTAAGGTTCCGTGTCAAGCGTCCAAAAAGTTCCAAGTAAAGGTTCCGTGTCAAGCGTCTAAAAAGTTCCAAGTAAAGATTCCAAGTGAAGGTTCTGAAGGTTCCGAGGTTCCAAGCAATGTTCCGTGTCAAGTGTCCAAAAAGTTCCAAGTTTAAGGGTCCAAGTGAAGGTTTCGAAGGTTCCAAGTGAAGGTTTCGAAGGTTCCAAGTGAGGGTTCCGAGGTTCCAAGTAAAGGTTCCAAAGGTTCCGAGGTTAAGGTTCCGTGTCAAGTGTCAAACAAGTTCCAAGTAAAGGTTCCAAGTGAAAGTTCCGAGTGAAGGTTCCGAAGGTTTCGAGGTTCCAAGCGAAGGTTCCGTGTCAAGTGAGCAAAGAGTTCCAAGTAAAGGTTCCGAGCGAAGGTTTTGAAGGTTCCAATGAGGGTTCCGAGGTTCCAAGTAAAGGTTCCGAAGGTTCCAAGTGAGGGTTCCGAGCTTCCAAGCAAAGGTTCCGAGTGAAGGCTCCGAAGGTTCTGAGGTTAAGGTTCCGTGTGAAGTTCAGTGTGAAGTGTCTAAAAAGTTCCAATTAGTAAAGGTTCCAAGTGAAGGTTCCCGAGGTTTCAAGCGAAGGTTCCGTGTCAAGTGCCCAAAGAGGTCCAAGTAAAGGTTCCGAGTGAAGGTTCTGAAGGTGCCAAGTGCCAACACCGAGTGTGCACCAAGCGCGCCCAGCCCAACCTCACGCAAAGCATGCCCTCAGCGTGTTCCTGAGCGCGCACTGCCTCCCTCTCTCTGCTTCTCTTTCTCTTTCTCTTTCTCTTCTCTCTTTCTCTTTGAGTTTATGTTTCTCTGTTTTTCTCTCTGCAGAGCGCGCTCAGAGCGCGCCTTTCCGGAGCATATTTCAGAGCGCGCCCGACCTGCCTCTCTCTGTTTCTCATTCTCTCTCTTTCTTCTTAAGCTTCTCTTTCTCTGTCTTTCTCTCTGCAAGGCACGCTGTGAGCACGCCTTTCTGGAGCGTATTTCAGAGCGCGCCAGAGCGCGCCGTCCAAGGCGCACGAACGAGAGCGCGCCTGCTCGCCCTGCTGTCTTTCTTTCTTTCTTTCTCTCTCTCGCTCTCTGTCTTTCTCTCTGCAGAGCGCGCCTGAGCGCGCGTTTTCTGGAGCGTATTTCAGAGCGCGCACGAGCGCGCCGTCCACCGCGCGCTCGCCCTGCTGTCTTTTTCTCTCTCTCTCTCTCTCATTCTCTTTAAGTCTTTCTTTCTCGAGCTCGCGCGCGCGCGCTCGCCCTGCTCTCTCTCTCTCTTTCTCTTTAAGAATCTCTTTCTCTGTCTTTCTCTCTGCAGAGCGCGCTGCGGGCGCGCCTTCCTGGAGCCTATTTCAGAGCGCGCCAGAGCGCGCCGTCCAAAGCACACGAGCGCGCGCGTGGCGCTCGCCCTGCTGTCTTTCTTTCTTTCTTTCTTTTTTTTTTTTTTCTCTCGGTTCTTTTGTGTCTGCACGAACAAGGCCATGGCAACTAGCCAAAAATGGCCACCGAGAAAGGCTCATTCTCCTTTTACTCGGCTTCGAACGGCATTCAAGCCTACTGCTAGCTGCTGGAGCTTCTCGCTTCAAAGGACAGTACCTGCTGGCCCCTCTTCGTCTGGCACGGCTGTGCAAGCCAAGCCTGGACCCTGCCATCCTGCTCGCGAGAGAGCTTGTTGCAACCTCGGCATTCAAGCCACTTGCCCCGCCTCCACACCTGGTGAGAGGTGTGTACCCTCGTGCGGAGCTGCATCTCAAACTCTGACAGCTGCCCATAGATGCACTCCATGGCAGTCAAATGATCAATGGCTCCTTTGCTGCACTTGAGGGGAAGCTTGCACCAACAGCGAATGCAGCCAAAACTGGAAGCCCGAATCTCCCACTTGTGGCCTGGCTGACCATCTTGCAGATGCTCTGTGGCGCCAACAAGGTCGCTCATGACCTGTTTCAAGGTCTTTGTCACTGCACCAGGGCACAACGTGGATTGTTTGGTGCTAATTTCATCATGTGTGCTGCAGGCTTTGATCTTTTTTCCACAACCTTCACAAATCACTCCTCCCCGATGATGCAGCCACTTGTGTTGGCCAGCCACGTGAGTTTGGAGGACCAGCTGGTTGAACAACTCCACACGGCCCTTTTTGGGTGGCAAGGCCGGCACTTTGACCTCATGCTCAACCTTCTCCAAGGTGCCATGCATGTAGTGATCAGCATCCTGCAGAATTTTACTGATTCGTTTGGCAGCGACCTCATAGATGGCTTGGTGCATCTTGTCAGCTTCATGCAGGTCTTTCTCACACTCAGGGTTGGCTGCACGTCGGCTTCTACCTTTGGCCACAAGCTTGGCTTCAATGAACTGCAACCATCCTTTAGAGTGGCGACCTTCATCCTTGAGCAGCTTTGCAGGCACATTCAACAAGGTGAGCCTTTGCCATTCATCAGCTGGGAGATTGTGCCAGAGGTCAGGGGCTGTTTTGCTAGCACCTTGCTTCTGAAGTGCCGCCCAACCAGCTCGGTGAGGAATGTTCATCTGATGCTTGCCAAGGACTGCCTGGAGCACAAGCCAGCACCCAAAGATCCATGCTCTGGATTCGACAGCCTGCCCAGGTGCTATGGCCGTACATGTGCCCACAATTTGCCATGAGCCTTCCATCCAGCTGCCAACTGTCAAAGCAACCGCATACTTCCGGAGACGAGGATCAGTGGAGGTCGCCTGCACCCCAACAGCCACTCTCTGATTTGGGGTCAAACGAATGGGCCACCCATGGGCCAGCAAGCCAGTGACCTCGCAGGAGTCAATCCCTTCCATCTGCTTGAGATTCGGCTGCTCAATGAGACCCCGAGCCCATAACATGGCATCTTCATTGGCCTGAATTCTCTCCTGCCAGTCCCTGGGCAGCTCATCCTCATGATATTGGCATTGCCAGACCAGATGCTTCATTGTGACAGGGACTCCACACAAGGGGCACATCACACGTACTCCAGCATCATGAGTGCGCAAAGAGCCTTGGGTCCAGGCATCCAAAGCAGCCCGCTCTGCCCCTTTCAACCCTTTGCTGACCTTGTGATACACCGTCCAATCAGGCCGATGCATCAGAGGGAAACAGTGCTCAAGCTCTTGTATCCGCCAGGCTCGCTGCTGCCGCTGTTCCTGTTGCAACAACCTCTGGAGATAAGGCCACGGGGCATCCAAACTCATCTGATTTGGAGGTCGAAGACCTTTGGCAGGCCGAATCCAATCATCCAGGACAGAGGCATCCCAGCCCATCTGCAGAAAATAGACCTGCAAAGCTGCCATAGGCCCAGCCACAACCATCCAAGGGTGCGCTGCAGCTTGTAGCCTCCTCCAGGATACTCGCCATGCCGACATGAGCTCACCTCTTTGCTTCTCCGGCCAAGCACGGACCAGCTGGTGCATGGCCTTGAGCTGGCGTTCAACAGCAACATCCTGTGGGTCCTGTAGGTGCACATGTTGATCAAAGACAATGTCAACACTGCCCTTCTTTTGGAGCCCCCCATGGCGTGCAAGTTGCTGACGCAGGGTTCTCATTCTCTGTGGTGCAAGGCCCTGTGCTTCAACACCAAATCCAACTGCAGAATGAATGGAGGTTTTCCAAACACGAATCCTCACTGGCCTTGATCTGAGCTTCAGATGCAGCAGCTTTGATTGCCTTCCACTGCCCTTCAACAGCCGCCAATACGGCGCCTACGGCCTCCACTCGAATCAAGGCCTAAATCTTTCAAGAGATCATGGGCCTTTGGTTGATGCTCCAGCCGATGCAGATTGATGGATTTTTTGGCCTCAATTGTCGAGGTGAGGAAGCCCGTCTTGCTGGGGGAAAGCTGCAAGCCAACACTCTCCAGGCCTTTTTTTGATCTCATCGAAACCAGCCAGGGCCTCTTTGCTCACCACATGTGGGTCGTCCCCAGTGAAGTCCATGGATATGTCATCTACCCAGACATCAACAGTGGCTCGCGGGTATTTGGCCTGTAAGCTCTGCAGGACCGGGGCCAAGATCAACTTCGCAACAAGCGGTGCTGCCGGGCAGCCGGCTAACGTGCCCCTCTCGCAATGAACCGGGGAGGACGTCACTCCTTCAGCCTGCAGCAGCCGTGGGCCACTGTAAACTTCATACACCATGTTCATCACTGCAGGCGG